GAAAAAGTTAGAAAGAGGGAAAATTGGGGAAGAGAAAAAAATCTGTGGTGTTTGCAAATATCTTTCAAAAGCAATAAAATCTTCTGTTACTTGGGCTATTCCTCATCAGAAGGAATACTCAAAAATAATGGATTAGGATGTCTATGGAAAAGGTTTTAGTTGAGTTCTCCCAGAAGAAGACCCTGACTCAGAATTCGAATTGGGAGGCGATCCAGGAAGCATCTGTAAGGGCGAGGGGAAGTGGGACAGAGAAGGGAAGGAAGTGGAAAGAGGCGTGGTCATTAGCAGGTTGTTGCTCTGGGCACCTGGGCTCCTCCCAGTTGAGCTTTCTGGGAGATCTGAGGGAACATGACTCAGAGTAGTCCCAACTGGGAGGTGAGGAAGCTGGGCTGTTCATCCACCAACAGCTGGTAGTTGCTGGTTGAGGGCTCCTGGGGGCGTCAGCCTCCCCTTGTTCTCCCCAGCACCCCAGCCTGCCTTGCCTGGGGCCAGATGAAGCCCTGGAGCTGAAAGGAAAGGTGCTTGCAGCAAAAAGCCATCAGCAAGCTTGAGAATGGTGACTGCATGAGGCATGGTGTTGGACCCCTATAGTGTCTCATGACACCAAACTGAATGTTTTATCCTGTAATTCATGATTTCAACAAACATTTGTATAGTTCCTGGTGTATGTGTTCATTTTCTCCTCTGATCTTAACAATACCATAGATAGGTAGATTTATGGTTATCCACACATCGTGGATGGGAAAACTGAGCCCGAGAGTCATTTGTCCAGGAGAATTCAACTCAAATGGTAGCCCCAGTATCCTCACTCTGCGTGTGTGGTCACTCATGCCTGACTCCTTGGATTTCTACAAAGCTCAGCTCCATAAGGAGATGTAAATATATTGACGTTTTTGAGGTGAGAACAGGAAACTAAAACTATTTTTTTTTGTACTCTGTAGAATTCCTTAGATATCCATAGGGAAGTAGATACTTATATCCACTTAGTCCCAAGACTCTTATGCCAAAAAATATTATCTCTCTTTTGCACAAAGCACAGTCAAAATCAAGAGGTTATAGGACCTGCTGACTGCCACACAGGATGTTAGTGATACAGTTAAATTCTAGAAAACTCCACAGAAGTCCCTGTGGTGGAAGCTTATGGATGCATGGTTTATTGAAGACTGGATTTTGTTACCTTCCCATTACCCAGCTCTCTTCAAAAGTGTTGTCAGTCCCTTTGGTACCTCTTGGAAACAAATCTCTCTCCCAGCTTCATTTCCCTTTATTATACTTCTAAGTGACTCAGTAATTCTTTGTGGACTTCAGTAACACTTGTACTATTTAAATTTGAATAACCCCAAAGGATCCAGATAGGTCAATGTGTTTAAACCACAGGCTTTAGTCTGCATATTAGTTGATTAAAAACAGATTTTATACGTGATGTGTACTTAATAAAGGGAGGGGAAAGCAAGCAGATGTTTGTAAATCGAAATGTGTTAGATTATATTTATTTGGCTCTCTCTTGCTGACTAGCTTTAAAAAAGTTATACCTATGACAATTGAACTGTAAACAGTTAGATGATGTATTTCCCTAGAAATTTCCTGCTCTGAAGGGTCAGCCAAAAAAAAAAGTAAAAGGATTCCCTAAGATTAACATACCAAAAGAAGTTGACAAATATACCATAAAGTAGTCATATCTAAATCAAGGATATTGAATAATGGAATGCCTCAAAATTATTCTCTAGTCTCTGACCTAAAGTGATTAGTGGTTGCAATTCATTTAATCTAAACAGTGGAACTTTTGGCTTTTGTTATCATTGTTGTTAAGAGCTTTGAAAGCAAGTTTTTCTTTGATGCAAACATGAGATCATTAAGTTCCACCTAAATCACTCTGTCTGGTTCATTCTCTGGCTTTTTGTTGTATCCTATTCTTTAAGTGAGAAACAGTCATTTTTCTCCTTTAAAATATTTATATGTGAGACGCTTTGAGTCTTTCAAAGCCCAAATTGAAGATTTCTTGTTGGTCTTCCAGTTCAGATGAAATATGCACAAAACCTCTCTGTGAATTCTGAACACATGAGAATTATAGATAAAATATTTCAGAGTGGATTTTAAAGAATAATAACCAAGCTTAAACATAAGTTGAAAGTCTCCAAGGATCAGAAATGAAAGGAGGTGCAGAACAGTGAGACAGCTGAAGCTGGGCTGCTCACGAGAAGTGGAGAGAAGATGGGGCAGTGGGGACCTGAGGGGAAACGTGGTGGAATGTATCCTGCACATGGCAGGAGCCTCAGACTGCCCCATACACCTGGAGGCCAGGCCTCCCTGTGTACACATGGGGCTTAAAGGGTGCCTCCCACCTCCTCTGGAATTGGAGCCAGACAGAATTCTCATGGAAGGAAGCAGAGGCACTGAGTCAAGCCAGGCTCTGTGCCTCTATGGCACATGGGTGTCTGAGGGAGTGCCCTCTCTGGGGAAACAACCTCAAGCCCTAACACCAGAGTGGGCACCTCATCTGGCTGAGCTATGTCAATCTCCAAATCACAGCACAGGGAACAAAGTTTACGTCAGATGAGCTGTCAGACAAAAATTATAAGACGCAGATAAAATCAGCTTCTTGGGAAACATTACCCAAACACAGGAAAATACGGAATTGCCTTTTCTCAAAAGAGCTTAAGAATAAGTAAGTGTGTTTAGTTCTCTTGAAATTATGAAAGAAGGAATTGCATCCTGGGAACAGCAACAGAAAGTAATTCAACAAGAAGAGAGAGATGTGATAAAGAACCTACTGGAAATGAAAAGTATGGTCATTGAAATAAAAAAATAGGCAATAGGATAAACACCAGATTAATAAGCATAACTTGTTTAAGAATGACCAAAGAGATTTCTGCTTCTGACCTATCCATTTTAAGCATTAAATAAAACTGATTCTTTTCCCAAATATACCTTTCTAAATCTAAAATTTAGGAAAGTAGAAAGAGTAAACATTTTTAGAAATAAATTTCACAGCATAATGAACTATTATCACCTTTATGAAATTGTTAATTTTCAAAATCCCCCTCATACTCTTTCCAAGTCCTTTTTCTCAGATGGCATTACAAATCCTAGATCTATTTTCTTTTCCATGAAATTTCCTTTTGTTCCATATCTTCACTGTGTTTGTGGAACTGTCTATATGTTAAAACACATAGTGCCCTCATCCTTTGCCCTCTCACACCACCCCCGATCTTGATATATGACATTGTTCTGTTCTCTGCCCGTGGAATACACTTCCCCGTGCTGACCTCCACCTCCATTCCATCTTCTCAAGAAATTCCCACTCTTGTTCACCAAAAACTCTCACCCATCCTTCCAGCCTCAGCGGAAAGACCGTGTCCTCTTGGAAACCTTCTGCAGGCAGCCCTGACTCTTCCCCTTCTCTGTTTACAGCATCTCTTTCCCAGTGGCATAGCCATCTCCTTGTGGACAGGGAGTAGATATTTTTATTTTTGTTTCCCTAGTACCTCTCTCAGAGTCTGACATACACTAGAAGCTCCATAAGTACTTGTATGAATAGATAAATAAATGAAGGATGGTGAAAAGGAAGAGCGTACATAATAAGAAGCAGTGGAGTACTCTTAATGAATCTTGTCCGCAACAGAGGGTTATTGTAGTTGAAAATAAGATTTAATAGTCATTGTGGGGAACTGTAAATTTGATGTTCTAAAGGAATAGGGAATAATTCTAGATTCTTAAGCAGGATAGTGACATGAAAAATGTAGCATTCAAGGACATTTGATCTGACATGGATAGGTTGATAGGCAAAGAATAGAAATGTACAATAAAATGTACTATGAGTGAGTAAACACGTATGGTGAGGACTTCTTATAAAAGCCTATAAATGGCTATAATGTCAGCAATAGTTGGACAGTTGAAACCCTCCTCCAAGGGATTGTTGACCTCAGCCTGCCCATAAGATGGTAAATCCTAAAAATCCAATAGTAGTTGATTTGATGTGAGAATATGTTCCTTATATTATTGCCATTTCTGATTCAGGTAAAGGAATAGAAATCCAGTTACCTCCTCTCTCTCTAGTTCACGACCTAGAAGTAACCTATAACTAATCATTCAGTTAAACATGCCTGAGTTAGTGCAAGAAGCAGGAACAAAAAGAATGAAATTTGAACATTTTTGAAAGTTTCTTTTATTTATTTATTTTTTTTTTAATTTTTTGTTTATTGCAGTAACATTGGTTTATAACATTGTAAAAATTTCAGGTGTACATCATTGTACTTCTATTTCTGCATAGATTACATCATGTTCACCACCAAAATACTAATTACAACCCTTCACCACACACATGTACCGAATTATCCCTTTCACCCTCCTCCCTTCCCCCTTCCCCTCTGCTAACCACCAATCCAATCTCTGTCCCTATGTGTTTGTTTATTGTTGTTATTATCTACTACTTAATGAAGGAAATCATACGGTATTTGACCTTCTCCCTCTGACTTATTTCACTTTGCATTATACCCTCAATGTCCATCCATGTTGTCACAAATGGCTGGATTTCATCGTTTCTTATGGCTGAGTAGTATTCCATTGTGTATATATACCACAGCTTCTTTATCCATTCGTCCCTTGATGGGCACTTAGGTTGCTTCCAAGTCTTGGCTATTGTGAATAACGCTGCAATGAACACAGGGGTGCATGTACCTTTGCAAATTGGTGTTTTCAAGTTCTTTGGATAAATACCCAACAGTGGAATAGCTGGATCATATGGCAGTGCAAACTGGTCCAGCCACTATGGAAAACAGTATGGAGATTCCTCAAAAAATCAAGGATAGAACTACCATAAAAGTTTCTTTTAAATGTGACTTTTCAAAATCCAGTTTAAATCTATAAATATTTGAAACTGCATAGATTTCATTGAGGTTTCTGAAAAATGTATCAGTTTTTCCTGAGTCTGAGTAATTTTGTATGTACTAAAAGTATTAAAAGTATGCAGAATAATATTTTTCCCTCTCTTTTTTGAACAGCAAAACTTGGAAAGCAACCTCACCAGCCTTATTAAGAGGAACACGGAACTGGAGACCCTTTTGGCTAAACTCATCCAAACCTGTCAGCATGTTGAGGTGAGTATCTCTGTATGATATGTTTCGTATGGAAACTGCTGGATCAGTTTTTATACTCTGACCCTTTATATTTTTTAAATGGGAATCTTTTTAAAATTAGATCTTTTGCATAAGCCAAATATATCAGATGGATGAGATTGGAAGGAACTAGAACCTCAGAGGATCTCTCCCCATCCACTGCTTTGTCCTGCCCCCCACTCCCATCACAGCTCTCCCTGATCCAGCTTCACTTTGCATTCCTAATATTGTAGATTTTAATCACCCTTACAAAGAACAGCCAAAAAAAAACACTATTTAAAAGGTGTTGTATTAGTTTACTGGAGCTGCCATAACAAATTACCACAAACTCGGATGGCATAAAACAACAGAAATTTATTCTCTCCAGTTCTGGAGGCCAGAAGTCTGAAATCAAGGTGTTGGCAGGGCCACGCTGCCTCTGAAGGCTCTGGAGGGGGTCCTTCCTTACCTCTTCCCACCTTCTAGTGGTTCCAGGCAATTCTTGGAGTTCCTTGGCTTGTAGCTGCAGCTCTCTAATCTCTGCCTCTGTCGTCACTTGGCGTTCTCCCTGTGTGTCTCTGTGTCTGTGTCCAAATCTCCTTCTTACCAGTTGTTGGATAAGGGGCCACCGTACTCCAGTATGAACTCACTTGAACTTGATTACGTCTGCAAAGACCCTATTTCCAAATAAGGTTATAATACAGATACTGGGGGTTAGGACTTGGCCATATCTTTTGGTGGGGGGCAGAATTCAATCCGCTACATGTGTATATTAAATGCATCTTGGTTGTCAGATATGTTTCCATGAAATTGACCACAATTGCAGCATATTGGGATTAAGTCAAGAGTGTGCAGGCAGCAGTGACAACAAGGGCAAGTTACAGAACCCAGATCTTTCTAACCCTCTGCTTAGAATGGATTCGCTTTTGGCAATGCTCTCTCCAGGGAACATTTTGAGCTTTGTTGATTAAACAACATTGTAAATAATGAGGAACAAGCATAATGTTTTCATTATTGTAGGGTAAAGTGAATATGTAATTTAGGAATAAATGGATGACAAAATGGAATGATCCATGTGCTATATTTTATTTTTATGATGTGATGGCATTTGATGTTTAGGACAATAAGAAAGAATTATTTCTCTTCAGTAAAAAAAAATTACCTGTGTTTTATGGGGAAATCTTATAAATGCTTTATGGATTGGGTGATTATTTCATTCAATTTCAGCTAGTTACTTCTTAAGCATTAGTGTCTGGTTTCCATTATGGCCTATAGTGATTTCAGAGCAACTGTCTCGTTCCTCTGGCCTAAATTTACAAAATGCTATTCGTCCTAACATGTAAAATTACATTCTATAATGCTCAGTAATTTCAAATGATAGATAGATGTGTCATTCAAGAAATTTACAAGCAGATTTTATTTTTATTTTAATGGTTAGATATTTAGTTGAGATATAGGCTTTTTAAATAAAGCTATTACTGAATTGATTGTAGAAGACTTGCAAATAGACCCATACATGCTGTTAGAAGTTATTCTAGACAAGGAGTAAAGAATATTCATTCCTTTCACTGTTGCTATTTCTGTATAAATCCTTTGGGATGGAAAGAAATGTTTGTGGATGAGTAAATCTGGTATTTGAGAAATTTATTCTTGATAAATTAAAGAAAATTAATTATGAGTAGAAAAATAATGATACTAGCAATACCTATTTTTACATGTGTTCCCTTATTCATAATTATTAATATTCTCAAGGTATAATTTTAAAAAAAATTGAGAATCCAATTCTTATATAATAATCAAATGAGTCTACATTGAAGATTTATTTAACTCGTTGATGAAGGAAGCAGCAAGATGATAAAGCTGGCTTAAAGGAGGATATCGGAAACTGATATGCACAAACATTGAGGGAGGAGGGTAGTAGGGGGGTAAAAAAGCTAGAATAAGTTAGCTAAATTAGATGCAAAACTGGTTAGTGACCTAAACGGCAACATAGTCATAACATTTGGGCAAAATAAGTTTCATATCATCAGTTTTCTCTAATTTAACATTTAACTTGGCAGAGACTAAACCCTAGTCAATTGTAAATAGAAAGTCAAATTCTTACATCCCAACCTGGAGAGTCGGATGACCCTTCCCTAGGCTGACTTGATGGAGTATGCTCTAGTATGACACCAAAAGGGCTCCCAGTCTTCTTTTTGCCTTATTTCCAAGTTTTGGATAATTTAGCTTAACATGACTTTCTGCTCCTCTTGTTCTGGACACTGTTGATCTATGAGCTGTGTTCGCTAAATAAATATTTCTGGGTGAGGGTGTAAATAGTTGCCTGCAGTCGCTTATTTGGTTTGTTCAAGTGTCACGCTAGTTTGTTCATTCCGTTAGTGTGTATGGAGCATCCACTGTGTGTGTGTTGCACTATGCTAGGTGCCAAGGACCCTGCCCACAGGGACCTTACTATCTTGACTAAGACAAAAGAGCAGCTATGATACAATACAAAATAGAAAACTAATTGCCATAAGAGAAGTGTAGATTATATACTTTGGAATATCAGAGAAGCAAGAAATTTCTTTCAGCCAGGGGAGATAGTGCACAATCTGAGCCTGACTTCAAGAGTGGGTAACATTTGGGCATATGGAGGAATGGGTAAGGCACTGCTTATAGGGCAAACCAAGTCATGTGGATGGAAAAATGAAGAGTGTATGTACACAAAGCAAGTAGTTCATTCTGTAGAAATGGAAGGTGTGTGAGGGGGGATAAGTAGGAACTGGCTTTGGAGAGATGAGAGCTGGGTGGACTTGAATATTGCATCTGGGGCCGGCCCTGTGGCTTGGCGGTTGGGTGCACGCACTCCGCTGCTGGCAGCCCAGGTTCGGATCCCGGGCTCGCGCCGACCCGCGCTTCTCTGGCCATGCTGGTGCCGCGTCCCACATGTAGCGGCTGCAAGGATGTGCAGCTATGACATACGGCTATCTACTGGGGCTTTGGGGGGGGGAATAAATAAATAAATAAAATATTTAAAAAAAAAAGTACTGGAAGAAATTTAAAAAATATATATTGCATCTGAATTTGAACTCTATTTGGTCTTGAAGATTTAGTGAGGATTCAAGGAACACAAGGACCTGTGTATTTTTCACAGTTACAATTGACATCCCTAACTCTTTCCAGGAAATGGTATTTTTGGTTATTGAGAAAATAATATGGATATCTTAGTGCAAAACGATTGCACGTCCAAGGAAGACATCACAGCACTAGTAAACTCCAAAAAGGTAGTGGAATTTGTAAGGCACCAGCATCACAGTCTTTTAAATCAGTGTAGTGGAAAAGAATTTCCTGGTTCACATCCTAGGTTCCTAGACTGTATTTCTTCCTTTTCCTCTTCCTGAAGGTGTCCTTGTATTCGGGTATGAGCATTCCTCGGGAAAATAGTCCCCATGCCAGCTGGAGCTAAAAAACTCAAAGCACAGAGGCAACTCGCAATTGTTGTAAATTAAATCAGTGAATTCCCACCGAATCCTGAGGAAATGCCACATCCTTATAAGTCCACACCTCCTTCCTGGGATTCACTTCTGCTTTTCGTTAGAATGAAAAGAGTTTGAAGGTCTCCCCCCATCCCCATTGTTTTCATAACTTGTTTTTAAAATGAGGGTGAGCAATGAAATGGCTTTTTGATAGTAAGTACCAAATCTTTTTAAAACTGGAGAATGGAGGGTGTGAAGGCCAAGACAATTTAGGACTTGGGAAGTAGAGGCATTGAAAGAGCAATATCAGGTAGACCCCCAAGAAATGTTAGTGTAATTTGGTGCCTGGAATTCTAAAAACTACTGGACTTTTAGCCACTGGGTTGTTTTCTTCAGGAGAGGATTACAGTAGAAAATTCCCTTGGGATGAGTTTGGAGTTAGTTATGTACGAGATGTAGGACAGGCTTACGAGAAGTGGTCAAAATTTGGGTCAGCTACAGAGCTTACAATTCTAGGCTGAATATGGACTATTTCTCTTCATCATCTCATCCTCCTCCCTGTTTTCTTTTAAAAATCAGAGGACTTAGTTTATTAGCTAAGCAAATACTTAGAATCACTGATGTATATCAAATTCTCCACACATTCTGAGACTCAGATTCTTTCACAGGGAATACAACACCTGGACACACAGTGGATGCTCATTTTGGGAATTACAGGTGACCAATGACTAAATCCACAGTGAGATGGTAAAGAAAAACTGCGAAAGGGTGGCTTATTGCCATAGCAGTTTGGAGAAGATAAAGGCTCAGCTGACCTCACCGACCTTGCCCAAGCTCATCCTAGAAGGGCATTCTCTAAGCCAGCATCCCGTCAAAATCCTGGCATTAGCTCCTTTGGCTTATCTTGCCTTCTTTGTAATCATTTTGTTTTTAATTCCTCTTGTCATTGCTTTTCACACTAAGTTTTTAAACTATTTTTTTTATTTTAATGGAAAATTTGCCCTCTTACTGGCTTTCTCTGAGTTTTTCCAGTGCTAGGTGGCATGTGGTGTGACAAACTTCTTGTAGGTAAATTAAGTGCCATTTAATTCAATTTTTGCTCAGATGTTGGGCTTTGTAAATCAAGGAGGAAGAGGGTGATGTGTTATGGTATCTTGTAAGAAACGGTGAAAATTGATTTTGGAAAACAAATGAGTGTCTGTAAAAGACTTTTTCAGCCATTCACCAAGCCCTAAAAGCCTTCAATTGTAAATTTTGAAATAAAGAAAAAAATCACTGGGTTAGAAAGGAAGATGAACCTTTATGTTTAAATTAATTTTGTTGTGCAAAGCATTCTCTCTCTATGGAAGCCTTGGCAATTACTTCATCTAGAGCCATTGGATGAAGACCAGCATCCGAACACCACACGTGCTGTTTGTGTCTTGTGGACAGCTATCTGATCTTGGATGATGTGTGTCCTGCTAAGGGCCAACTTGAATGTCCAAAGTTATAATCCATTGTCACTTGCAGATAAGGGTTAGATTCCCACCCCAGCTGAGCCCCTGTGAG